ATTGTCTTAAAAGTTCTTGTTAGAAAAGGATTCTGAATTTTGTCAAATGTTTTTTCTTCATCTATTGAGAGGATCCTATGGCCTTTACTTTTGCTTCTATGATATGGTATATCATATTTATGGATTTGCATATGTTATACCAGCCTTGGATCCATTGGATGAAGCCTACTTGATCATGATGAATATTTTTTTTTAATGTGTAGCTGCAACTTATTAGCTAAGACTTTGTTGAGTATTTTTACATCGAGATTCATGAGTGAAACTGGTCTGTAGTTCTCTTTTTTTGTTGGATTCTTCCCTGGTTTTGGAATCAAGGTGATGTTTACTTCATAGAAATTGTTAGGGAAGGTTCTTTCCTTCTCAGTGTTTTGGAATGGGTTCTGCAGTATACTTGTACTTGGAGGAGTACAAGCTCATCTTTGAAGGTGTGATAGAATTCTGATGTGAAGCCATCTTGTGCCAGGCTTTTATTTGTTGTTGGAAGCTTTTTTATTTGTTCTACAATCTCAGTATTTGATATTGGTCTGTTCAAGAGATTTGTTTCTTCCTGGTGAAGTCCAGGAAGAAGGTGAGATTCCAGGTAATGGTCTATTTTCTCCACATTGTCAAATTCGTGGACATAGAGATTTTATAGTAGTCAAAAATAATCTCTTGTATCTCTGTGGTATCAGTTATTATTTCACCTTTTTATTCTGATTGGGATTATTAAAAATTTTATTCAAATGAGACTTTCCCTTTGAACCTGCAATCCCACTACTAGGCATCTACCCAGAAGGGGGAAAAATCATTTTACCATAAGGCCATTTGCACTAGACTGTTTATTGCAGTTCAATTTACAATCACCACAATGTGTAAGTAATCTAAATGCTTGCCACCCTGGAATAGACTAACAAACTGTGGTATATGTATACCATGGAAGATTAATCAGCTATTAAAAATAGGGAGACTTTACATTGTTTATATTAATCTTGGATAGAGTTGGAACACATTTGTAAACTATCATAAGAATGGAGAAGCAAGAATCTAATGTACTCAATTCTAATATAAAGCCAATAGACGATATAATACCTACATAAGAGAAAAACTCAAATCAATTCAATTTGGGGGGACAAGTGTATGAGGGAGCAGAGAGAGGGGAGGAGGGAAGGGGATGGGTGTGCTTCCACTTAATCAGCACAATGGTAGGGTTTATGACACATCTCTTAGGGGTGGGACACAATATAAGTGGGACTTTACCTAACAAATGCAAATATTGTAACATAGTTCTTTATACCCTCAATTAACCTGAAACAATAAAAAAATTATTTTTATTGTTTTGTAGACAGAATGAGAATTTTTGCATCTCTAGTGTTGTACATAATTAATAAAAAGATTAATTAGAGAAGGGAGACAGAGGGAGAACTCAGATATTGGGATGAATTTGTGGCATGTTTAAACCTTTTTTTAAGGTGTTTATTTTTATAAATAAGGATTTTTTTTTATTGTTTGGGATTCATGAGGGTAGAAAGAATTATGTTACATTGATTGCATTTGTTAGGTAAAGTCCCTCTTATAATTGTGTCCCATCCCCAAGAGGTGTGTCATACACTGTGACCCTCCAAACCCCTCCCTCCTCCCTTCTCCCTGCTCCCTTGTTTCCCGACCCCCACCTTGAATTGATTTGAGGTTTTCTCTTATGAGGGTATATATTAGATTGTCTACTGGCTTCATATTAGAATTGAGTACATTGGATTCTTGCTTCTCCATTCTTGATACTTTACTAAGAAGAATGTGTTCCAACTCAATCAAGGAGTTTACAACTTTTCAAGGTTAATGGAATAATTGTTTACAAAACCTATTTACTTATAGGGCCTTACTTTTACCTGACAACTTTAACTAACAGTTCTTACAATATGAAGTTCAGCCAAAGTCTCTCACCTGTCAAGTTGAATGAAAAAAAAAAAAAGAGCAAGCAAAATAAAAGTTCTCTAGTATACAAGGGTATTAGAATCAGTTCATTTTCTTTGTATTTTCACATACATTTTAATTGGAGACTGTAAGGATTGAAATAACCTTGGAGTTACAAAAAAATAAACTTGGATTTACTCAGATGATATTAATTGGTGATTTATTCACATCTGCACAGGGGGCTGTTGGTCTAAGACAAGCAGCCCTGAAATGCAGGGTTTTTGGTCTTTTATATCTTTTTTTCTCTGCGTAGCTTAAGCAAGCAGGGAGGGGAGGGGGACGGACAAGGAATGTTGCCATTGGCAGGGTTACAGAGCTTGGTTGTTAATGGATACATCTCATATCACAATGGTTATGATTATATAACAATAATTGATTAATGGATACATCTTAAATCACAATAGTTATGGTTATACAACCGTGTTATTACCCTAACAATCGTTATGGTAATTAATCAAGCCTCAGTGAGTTTTCCACCATTACTCATCTACTGAGAACTTGGGGGTTTTGTGAAACTTGGGACTTTCCCTGCCTCTTTGAATTCTGGAGAGCATGGGAATGGGCTGGGAAGGCCCATAGGGCTGAGGAGTGGGGGAACTGGAGAGGGCAAGAGGTTGCCCGTAGGTTGGGGGAATGGGAGAGGGTAGGGGAACGAAAGCTTGCCATAGGGCAGGGGGAAGGGGGTTGGTGAACAGGAGATCACAACAGGATGGCTTAATTTTTGCCTTTCTAAAAGTCAGAACAATAGATTTCCTCAAATTATAAATCACAGTATCTTTGTAAGTGATCAAGATATATTTGTGAACAAAATTTTAGATGTTCTTAGAAATACATTTTAAGATATAACACAGGTCATACAAACTTTTTAACTTCACTCATCCTTTTGAGATAAGGAAGAATACTCAGTTTATTTTATACTGAAAATTTAGTCTTTACTAACTAGAACATGAGTAGATCACAAAGTATAATTTTCAAGGTTTTCTCCACAGGTTTTCAGTACTGCAAAAAACTCAAAGACATCTTGTGTTCTATTTGCATCTGTATTTCTAATTAATTACTATCAGTGGTGTCTCGTATTGGTTATTTGTCTTGGTCATGATTTGCTCTTGCAAAACTACTTTATAGTGAAGCAAACATAAAAGTTATTTCCACAATTCAGTGAAAATAATCTGAATCCATAACAAAGGCAAAACCACAAATGTTTCAGGACATTTTTGAGAACAGATTTCAACAGTCCTAACATATTTTCTCTTCAATGAGTTTCTTCCTTTTCGCCACTAAGCAGTCACTGTCCTATTATCTTCTATTCTCAAAAACAAAAATCCTTTCTTTGAAGATCAAGCTTTTTATTGGCACAGGACTATTTGGAATGAACCCAAAAGATAGGGGAAAGTTGGCTCTCTCCTCAAGTGGTTTTCTTCTCTTTGAACAGCATTTATCTACTCTCTATAAATAATTTCATCACAGCTGAGTTCTTCAGATGATTGAGGATTGTAAGTGAGGAAAGCTCATGGATAAAACGGAGTCTTCTTGTCATGCACACGAAACCCGCCATCCAGGGCTGCTTCCCTTGCTCCAAATGTTCTCAGAAACATTTTGTTGGGCTCTTTCAAGGGCCATTGAGTTCTATAGGCAGCACTGTTCAGCTGCTCTTCTTCTACATGGTCTTGGTTGTCTTCCCAGTCATCAAATTCCTCTCCCTCATTGTTACTTTTGAATTCTGGGCCAGTGAGCTGGTTCGGCTGCTCCCCAGGGCTGGGTGAGCAGCTGCGTGGCAAGCTGCAGTGGGACCCTCAGAGGGAGGGACTCAGCGATGGGTCTCACTCTCACTGCCTACCCCAGGTCTGTGGAAAGTCACTTTTGCCAGGAGTCACAGCCATCTGCATGTCACTGCTCTCTCAGACAGCTCCAACATCTTATCTATTTTCAACTTTGTGCAAACTGCTCAACCCCTCGGAAAGTACTTTCAGCAAGACCAAAAAATTATTTAAATTGTTGTTTTAGTTACTGAAGAACATAAATAAAAGGTGAACTCAGTAATTTTACTGCACAAAATTCAGTTATAAGTAGCTTTATAGAATCTGTAGTTCAATAGAAAATAGTTATTGACTATATATGCTTGATTTATTGCATATCTTACGATACATTGTCTTTTAACTACCATGTCATAGGATTAAGTATAGTAATTGAATACTTCTTAAAGAATATTTTAATTAATATTTCTTTCCTTCTGAATGAATAATAAGGCAAAAAAAGAATATTTTAATTATGAAAATATCATTTGGGTTAATTATATAACATGTATTTATATACTTTGAATTTCCACAGTTTTAGAAAGCTGTTTTGATGATAAAGTCATTTCATTGGTCAGCCAAATAGTATTAATTTATCACCAAGTTAGAAAAGAGACTCTATAATCATGTTGATACTGATACTAAATAACTATATTCTACATAGGAATTTAGAATTAGTAATTTTACTTTATAGAATTGTTAAATTTTCTTCTCTTGAATTACTAGATCATTCATTAAAAAAATTTTAAAGAATCAAACATAAACTATAAAGATACAGTTGTAGCATAAACAAAAGACAATTTAGCCACTAAGAAAGGTATTTAATACACCAGCACCAAACTGGGATTTTCTACTTGAGAATTCAGAAGGACTGAACAAGAAGTGGACTATAAATGCATTTTGAACAGCATGATTCAATTATTTCATGTCATCTCCCAGAACTACACAAAATCATCTTCCTTATTCACAGTTGTGGACATCCCTATACTTAGGAGAACACTGATACTTTGTGTGTGTGTGTGTGTGTGTGTATGTGAGCATCTGTATACTTGAATGTTTTTAAAAATTAACGTCAGTTAAAATATGATGTCATAGTTTTGTTATTAACATTGAATGACTAATTCCATGTATTAATATTAATATATATTATGTGTGACACTGAACTCTGACATATAAAGTGTGTATAAGTTATGTTGTACATGGACAAATAAATGAACTCTAGCAATAATAACTTAAAATGTTTTTTTCCTGTTTTTACAGCTTGCAGACCAGGATTCTATAAAGCATTTGCTGGCAACACAAAGTGTTCTAAATGCCCTCCACACAGTTTAACTTACAAGGAAGCAACTTCTGTCTGTCAGTGTGAAAAGGGTTACTTCCGAGCTGAGAAAGACCCACCCTCTATGGCATGTACCAGTAAGTCTATACATTTTAGATTTGGAAGTTCTATGTCTAACCCTTTTTGTCTCTATATTCTAAATTTAAAAAGTAAGTACATGTACAAAATCCTGCATTATCTATGCCATTTGTCTTTGGGAACAGTCAAGGAAAAAGCTTCTCTCTCTTCTCATCATAGTATTTTTTTCCCACCTGCTTATAAAGAAAGTGTTTACACTTAAAACTCATATTGATTCCTGACATACAAATCATAGGATTGCTGGGAGGCCCTGCACCTTAACCATCACCTGCCCTTAGAAAGTTAAAGCAATTTAAGGATACGTGAGAAGTCAGGAGCAAAACTTCTGTTCTTTGCTTCAACCCCTGACCACTTTAAGGTACATACATTTGAGACCATGAAGTTCATGTGCAAGGGCGATTCCAATGGAAACTTTAAAAATCATTGTATTACTTTTATGAAGAAAAGTTTTGAGTTTCCTTGGCTTTTATCTTTAAAGGAAGGTATTTTTGAGTTTGTCCACATTTCACCTCTTGCTCTCTCCCTATTTTTTGTTTGAAAGTAATAGAATATGAAATCTAAATGTGAAGGTCATTTTAATTCATCACTGAGAATTTTAAATTATTTCTTCTTTTCTATTAAGATATTATAAAATACCTATACACTTAAAAAACTAAGATGAATATATTAATACTTTGCTAAGCTATGCAAAAGTAAAATGTCACCTTGTTAAATTATATAAGTAAGATACTATACTATAAATTTGCACTTGTTGGCAATGAACTTGTACCAAAATATTCTTCTCTTACATGATTCCATAATAGCAGAAAAGGAGCTGAAAATTATATAATGTCATACATTCTTTAGAGATGATGATGGAGATATCCATTTTGTAGCTTCCCTGATCCAATTCATACATTTTTTCTACATTTCTGTAGACTTTATTATAAATTATTATTATAGAACGCACTTAATAAAAATGCAACACATTCATTAGTAAAGGTAATTTTTTGCTTTCTGATTGTAAATACTAGGAGACTACTTTCTTCGGAAAATTACAGCCTGGGAAATTACTACTTGGGGTTTATTTTATTTTTCTCCCCCTGAGAAGGAAAATTCTAAAAATGAAGTATAAGTTCTAACTTGATTGTGGAAATGGTTTTGAACAAGAAAACTTTGCTATTACTATAATGTTTTTTGTCTGGTCACTATTTATCATTTTATTATATCATAGATAACACTCCAGTTAGGTAGATGGTAGTATTTCAAAAAGTTACAGTTATACCAAGTATCTCTCAAAATCTATATAGGAAAATGAGCTTCCTACGTGAATGATAGAGGAAAATCTTCCCTTTTTATTTTCTGAGGAGACCATAAATAGACAAATGATAAATTGAAGTAAGAAGTTGGTTCCCATCCATATAACCCTTCAGTGAATTATTAGCAGTACAGTGGGTAGTTGGGCTTAGAGTTCTTTGAAGTTAGAGATTAGTTAAATAATATGGGGTGCCACAAGATCTATGAATAAGGTAAGCGATCAGTTGTTGAATCAGATATGTCTAATTTTCAACTTATCAGTTTATGTTACTTAAATTTCTTTTTTGCTTCCTTTTTAGTGCTTGGTATTATAAATTCCAACTTTAAAATGCTAGCCTCCTTTGGCTATACCAAATAGAAGCAGAGAAATTTAATTCTGTCATGTTTGGGCAGAGTTTTAGACAGGGAAGAGCATGTCTTTGTTGCTGTAAGGTAGGAAAAAAAAATATTTCTCTCTACTTTTCATAGTATTTAGTTAGGACAGACTCTTGTAACAACAACAAAAAAAAAACTGATAAGAGAAAAGCAAGTCTATTAATACGTATGCCTCCTGTACATGTGGGAGATACACAGGAAATGAATGACTCTAAGTGCTGGCTTTGAGTTCAGGCTTAAATACATGTACAACTGAAACAAAGAAAGAAGGGTGTTTGGGGGCCAGTAATGGTGCCAGGAAAAGCACCGTGAATAAGAATAAGGTTTGTTAGGCAAATGGAAGTCACTGCTTTCCTCATGGATAAGAGTTTGTAGTGATTTAGTCACAAGTGAAGGAGACCACTTACAATGTTTTGTTTTTTTCCTTGTAGATAGAAATTTCCCACAAGTTCTACTCTGTTTTCAGAGCTTCTGCTGTGCTTGCAGTTTCTCAAAATAATCAGCTCTAAATAATCTTATGCCAAAGGGGCATATTTTAGAATAGCATATTCCAGTCCCCTAGAGTCATATTTTGAAGTGGCATATTCCAACAACCGTATTTTGGTGTCATCAGGGATTTTATGGTGATTTTCTTTTTCTTTTACTTTTTCTCTTCTTCGAGAGCCGCCAAAGAAAAGTGAAATGTGGGGCTTTAGTCGGGTTTGCCTAGTCCAGCCATGGGAAGCTCCTCATCCAGGGCTGATCTCTGCTACTTCCTGTGGGCTTCTGTGCCTTGTTTATCAAAGGCTCAGCACAGTGTACCGGAAAGTGCACCAGCTTTTAGAACCAGATTATCTAAGGATGAATCTTGGGGCTATAAGGACAAAGGAAAATCTCTTCTGCTTTCTCTGAAGGTCACTAAAATGAACGGACAATAGATAAATAGGAGAAAAAGGATACAAACATATTAGCATGCATAAGCATGGGAGCCATATAAAATATGAGATTAAAATAAGGTCTGGAAGGTAGAGGCTTATATGCCCTATTCATAGAGGATAAGGTAATGTGGGCTGGACGGTAAGGCAATTGTGAGGGGTAGTGAATTCTTTTTGAGGGAAATGGATGAGCCCAAATAAAAATGGCCTGGAACTAAATTTCTCTGAGCTCTGAGGGAGGAGACAGAAAAGGGAAGGGTAGAACTGAACTATAAAAAAGGATTTTGTTTCAGGCAGATAATCTCCCAGAACTGCCCACAGATGCAAAGATGAAGTCTGTCTGGGCTGTGATGATGATTTTGTTTGCTTATCTAGTGGTTAATCTGTCCTGATGATTCGTTGTGTTGACATAAAAGGAAGAAGTCCAGGCACAATAAATTTAAGTAGAGAGTTTATTTGGATCAAGCTTGAAGATTGCAGCTCAGGAGTATAGTATCAAGTTGCATCGAATATATATTCAAATGAGCAGCAGTTAGTAAGAAAGAGGGTGGCAAGAAGTGATCCAATACAAAGTTGTTTGTCAGGATTCTCACTGGTTTACAGAAGTAACATTGATTGCTGGTTGGCTGTACATTGTTAAATTATGGAGTGTGGGCTATAGTTTCTGGTGGGGCATTCTTGGGTTACTTTAATATCTACTTATGTGGCTCGGCGCCTATAGCTCAACCGGCTAAGGCGCCAGCCACGTACACCTAAGGTGGTGGGTTCGAATCCCCAGCATGGACCCACCAAACAATGATGGCTGCAACCAAAAAAATAGCCAGGCGTTGTGGCGGGTGCCTGTGGTCCCAGCTACTTGGGAGGCGGAGGCAGGAGACTCACTTGAGCCCAAGAGTTGGAGGTTGCTATGAGCTGTAATGCCACGGCACTCTACCCAGGGGGACAGCTTGAGGCTCTGTCTCAATAAAAAAAAAAAAAAAAAAAAAATACCTACTTGTGGTGATAGGAAGCAGTTTCAAGACATGAATATGGAGCTTAAAGGGAGATGGAGGAGTGGGGCCTGATTGCTGTCTCATTTTTTAAATTTAATTTTTATTTATAATTATGTTGCTATCTCACTTTATGCCTCTCTGTGCATGATAATTTAAAAGGGCTAATATTCCTCAGATGAAATTTTTTTATTTCCCCCTTTTCCACTTTCAATCAAAATTCTTTCTTCTTGAAAGCATTTATGATCAAAATTTGAGTTTCAACATGTCCCTCATCACTAAGAAGGCTCATTTCCAGATAGTCCTGTCGAACTCCTTGATCTGTGGCTCTTATCTCTCGTTCAATCTTATCTAGCCTTTGGAGTACCAAGAATTTAGTTTTCTCAGAAGTAGTAAATCAATGAGTGATACATAGTAGAAATATAATGCACATAAGGATTATAACTGAACAGAGAATTTGCACACAAAAAAGGAAAAAAATTCTGGTTCCAATGGGACTCACATTTCCATCTCCTACTGAATTCCACCCTGGCTGTGTGTCTCCACCAGGACCTTGAGTGTTCCCCAGGCACTCCAAACTTAATATTGACTTCAGAGAGAAAACACAAGGTTGTATAGGCATTCTCTTACCTTCCTGCTACCACACCTACAAATCTGTCTATATCTGTGTAGCTAACTGTTCTCCTTCCCACGGTAAAATTATAAAAGGTAGTCCCCTTCCAACTAAAGCCAATCTCCCCACATGTATTTTGGAATCTATTTTCTCTAAAAATTTATTTCAATCCTCTATTAGTTTAGTCCCATGTAATTAATTCTTGCTCCACTTGATGTTGGGGTAGCAATCTTCATGAATATATCAGTGTGTGTGTGTTTGTTTGTTTGACAGAATGTCACTCGTTGCCCCAGGCTAGAGTGCCATGGTGTCAGCTTAGCTCTCAGCAACCTCAAACTCCTGGGTCTGAGCAATCCTCTTGTGTTAGCCTCCAAAGTAGCTGGGACTAAAGGTGTGTGCCACCATGCCCAGGTAATTTTTATATTTTTGTATAGACAGGGTCTCGCTCTTGCTCAGGCTCACCTCGAACTCTTCAGCTTGAGAAATCTATCGAGTGCACCTGGTACCTCAGTATTTTAAATTAGAATCTGAAAGTTTTATTTTTCTATTCAAATGCAATAATCACCAAAGTAAGCAGAAACCTATATTCAAGAATAGTTTTTAGAGTTCTTTCCATAAATTCCCTTAAAGAGGAAGCAAACTTTGGACATAGCCGATTGTAAACCTTTATTTTGAGAATAATCAAAGTAAAGCAATAATAGTTTTTAAATGAAAAGTCTTAGAATGGCCATTCACAGGGAAATTTGGTTATTTCTGTGACATCTAACGGTTTAACATAATAACTGTAACTAAGACATAACAGAATTGTAGAA